ACTAGATCGATGCCCCACTGCGCGAATGGAATGGGTGCACTCATTTTAGTCATCATCTCCGCTGGTTGGTGTATGAGCGGACCATGCTTCTGGCACTGCATACATCTCCTGGCCATTTCTTTAGCATCCGCTTTCATCGTCGGCCAGAAGTAGCCTGCTCTTAAGATTTTCGCGATCATGGCCCCGACTTTGCTATGATCACCACAGCATCCCTCGTGCACTTCTCGCAAAACATACCGACCCTCCTCTTTGGATACACATCTTAAATGTGGGCCTGCATATGATCGTTTATAGAGAACCCCTCCTTGCTCGAAAAACCTTTTTACCACCTTTATGGTCCCTTCCTGTAACTCCTTTTGGATTGGGGCCCTCCAATCTTCTACCTCCTCGATCTCTGCCACCTCGACTTCAGCCGCGCTCCTCTCCATGTGAAGTAGGGTCACACTCCTACTCTTACAATCGACCAAGTTTTGTGCGATCTTAGACAGCAAATCAGCCCGACCATTCTCCCCTCGAGGTATTTGTATTAATTCGAATGTCCCAAATTCTTCCTTCAACTTTTTTATGTTGTCCACATGACGCTGCAGCCGATCTTCCTTGATCTCGAAACCTTCTTGGAATTGACCGACCACTAACTGAGAGTCAGAATGGACCTGGATTTTTCGAGCACCTCCGGCCAGAGCCAATTGTAATCCCTTTGTCACCGCTTCATATTCCGCCTCGTTGTTTGATACTCGAAATCCCATCTTGACGGCAAATTCTAAATAATCTCCTTTGGGCGAAATCAAGACTATTCCCAAGCCAGCCCCGCTCCTCGATACTGAGCCGTCCGCGAACAACTGCCACATTCCTCCGCCATCTTCCTCCTCCTTCGTACCTTCCTGTATGAAATCGGCCAACACCTGCGCTTTGATCGCCCTTCTTGGTTCATATATTATAGAGTACTCATTCAGCTCGACCGCCCACTTTACTAGCCGGCCAGACACTGCTGGTCGACCTAAAGTC